TGAAATCACACTACAATACAAATTGAGAATTGTGATTTAATCATTATGATTTAAAATGTATCAGTTCAAGCGTTTTTGAGGAGCCCACGTTTGTTTTTATTTAACAGCTGAAAATGTTTCAATTATTTTATAAAATTTTTACCCCAAACATTTTCAGATCACCAACTTTTTTAATATCCTCATTTAAAATTTCCCTAATTTTAAATAAGTTAAGAAATTACTTTGTTGTATCCATGATGTTAGCCCATGGTCTTTCTGATAAACTGAATTTGAATTATTTTATTGAATTTTCTATTTTAATTCATTCATACCAACATTCCAAGGGATTTTGTTAAATCCTGTTTTGTGTCCTACATAATCCTCATCATTGACGATCTAGGGCGAATGCTCTCTTTAAGCAAAATATAATATCATGTTTCCAACGTTAGATGATTAGTCTTCATATATGGTACTTCCCACTTAAGATCACAATAGAGACGCTCCTATTTTTGTTCAACTTTTTGAAAGGTGAATATTAAAACCTTATCTTTAGGCTTTCAGGTAAGCCATTATTTTAAGGCACATGTTCAATCTTTGCTTGGAAGTGTATAAAAAAATTTAACAGGTTTAATTTACCAGCTGCTAAAGTAGATTTATAACAAGGAGAAGGGGGCGGGGGAATGGCCTGGGAACACAATCTCTATCAAAAATCATAGGCTTTTTGACAATAATGACAAGCTGATCTTAAAATTTATATATAAAAGCAAAGGACCTAGAATAGCCAAAACCCATTTTGAAAAAGAACAAACTGTTGGAAGATTTACACTTTCTGATTTCAAAACTTAGATAAGCTCTAGTAATAAGGGTACTGGAGTACTGGCGTAAGGACAGACATACACATCAATGGAACAGAACTGAGACTCCAAAAATAAACTCTTACATTTATGGTCAATTGATTTTAACAAAGATGCCAAGACCATTCAACGGGGAAAGGATAGTCTTGCCAACAAATGATGTTGAGACAACTGGACTTCTCGTGCAAAAGAATGAAGTTGGACCCTTACACCTCACACCATACTCAAAAGTTAGCTTAAAATGGATCATAGACCTACATGTAAGAGCTAAAACTATAAAACTCTTCGAAGAAAACATAGGCGTAAATCTTCATGACCTTGGGTTAGGCAATAGTTTCCTAGATGACACCAAAAGCATGATCTATAAAAGAAATAATTGATCAAATATCTGATAAAGGACTTACTTCTAGAATATATAAAGAACTCTTATAACTCAGTAATAAGATGACAAGCAAATGGGCAACAGGTTTTAGTAGACATTTCACCAAAGGGCTAATAAATGCATGAAAAGATGCTCAGCCTCATTAGTCACCAGGAAAATGCAAATTAAAACCACAATGAGAGACTACTTCACACTCACTAGAAAGGCTATAAAGACAGACAGACAACCAAGTGTTGCTCAGGGTGGGGAGAAACTGGACTCCTCATGCTGGTGGTAATGTAAAATGGTGAAGCCACTTTGGAAAACAGTCTGGCAGTTCCACAAATTTTTAAACACAAAGTTATCATATAACCCAGCAATTGGACTCCTAGGAGAAATAAAAACTTACTTCTTATGCCCACACAAAAACTTGCACACGAGTGTTCAGACCAGCATTATTCATGATCATGAAAACGTAGAAACAATTCAAATGTCCAACAACTAACGAATGGATAAATAAAATGTGGACTATCCATACAATAAAAATTTTTAAAACTCAGTGCCGTTGAGTTGATTCCGACTCATAGGGACCTCCAGGACAGAGCAGAACCGCCCCATAGAGTTTCTAAGGCTGTAAATCTTTTATGGAAGCAGACTGCCACATCTTTCTCTGAGAAGTGGCTGGTTGGTTCGAACCCCTGACCTTTTGGTTAGCAGCCGAGCACTTAACCACTGCGCCGCCAGGGCTCCTTATACAATAGAATACTATTCAGCAATAAAAAGGAACAGACTACTGATTGTGCTACAACATGGATGAACTTCAAAAATACCATGTTAAGTGGAAGAAAGCAGACACAAATGACCACATACTGTAGGGCTTCATTTACCTGAAAGGACCAGAAAAGCGAAAGCTACAAAACATAAAGCAGATAAGTGGTTGCTTGGGGAAGGGGGTAAGAACAGAGATTTGTCAGTAAACAGACATTTTTGAGGGTGATGAAAACACTATAGAACTGGATTGCGATGATGGCGGCCCAACTCTGTAAACTTCCTTGAAAATCAATGAATTGTGCGCTTAAAACAGGTGAATTGTATGGTATACAAATTATACCTAAATAAAGCTTTCCCCTTAAGCCTACAACACAGGAACATGCGCATCAATCTGAAAACCAGGTGAACCCAAAAGATGGTACAGTGTTCCCAAAGAGCAAAGAATCCCAGTATGGCTGCGGCTCTCCCAGTCCTTTACATCCCTGTCAATGAACTGGTCTGAGAAACAGGCACAAACATGCCCATCCCTTTGCCAAATGAAGCTGAATTCAACACTTCATCAGGCACAATTCTAGACAACATCAACTGACTCCCCAAAGAACAAGACTGTCAAGCATCTCGGACTTCATATACTCATGTTGTTGTGGGCTGTCAGAGTCTATTGCCAACTCACAGAGACCCCGCGTAACAAAGCAGAACTGCCCTATATGATTTTTAATTCTTCTAGGCTATAATCTTCACAGGAGCAGATTACCAGGTCTTTCTCTCATAAATTCCTTCAAACATCCAGCTGCAGGTTCAGACGGCGGCATTTATACTCTGTACACTTCACTCATGGTACTTTAGAGTTCACCCACTATATTTTATCTTTAAAAAAAACCAAAAAGCTTTCCAAAATGATCACAGATCTACAGTTCTCTCGGCTTCTCTCTCAGAACCTCTGGGGTCATACCATCCAAGCCCCTGCTTCCAAGTAATGTCAAACCAGCCCCTGTGTAGGGGGCAACTGAGCAAACTTGCCTCACCAAGTCCTCAGAGTTATGTTGATGTTCTATTTTCTTGTTTAATCACCACTAGCTGCAAGATGACCATTCTGTTGATCCATCTTTTTCCCCCCCCCCATCTGCCCTAGTTCCAGTCTATCTACAATGGAAGAAGGAATCGACTTCCCATTTTCAGAAAGGGGATACCATACCATTTGAAGATGACCATTAGCGGTACATTTCAAAGTTTATTTCCTTTCAGTCTTTCCCTTTGCTACTCTTTTTGTTCTTCTGAACACTCTTAAATTTTCACACTTCACCAAGCCTAAGAGCCAATACTGGGCACAGAATTCTAAAGTAATGCCAACTATAGCAGAGAGATTAGCTGCCAAATTCTTTAGAATAAGTTTATTTGCCCCCACCCCCCCCCCAAAAAAAAACCGGGAGAACAGTGCCAAGATATATTTAAAATTACCAAGAACATTAAGGAATTCCTGAGTGTTTAGGAAGGAGCCCTGGTGGCACAGTGGTTAAGACCTATGGCTGCTAACCAACAGGTCAGGGGTTCAAATCCACCAGCTGCTCCTTTGAAATGCTATGGTGCAGTTCTACTCTGTCCTATAAGGTTGCTATGAGTTGGAAAAGACTTGTCGGCAATGGTTTTTTTTTTGTTTGTTTGTTTGTTTTTTAGGAAGAAGGGGATAGATGTACCAGAAAGGAGGCCACAGGCCATCTAAGAGACACTACTGGTGTCTACTCGTGCAGAAAGAAACTAGTTTACAGGACTAACAGTCTACATGAACCACAGCCTCATCTACTCTGAGACCAGAAGAACTAGACGGTGCTCGGTTACCACAACTATTCCAACCAAGGCCACAACAGATGGACCTTGACAGAACGGGAGAAAACTGTGGAAGAGAACCTCCAATGCCTAAAAACACAACAAAACAAATCTACTGGACTGGTTAAGACAGGATGATTCCTCAATACTATTGCCTGAGATACTCTCCAAACCACGAACAGAGACTAACCTGAGATCACCTTGTAGCTAAATAACAAATTAGTCCCCAAAATAATGATTATCCCCCATTACTATGCTCCTTTAAAAAAAAATCACCTATGAGACAAATGGTCAACAATCACTTTAAAATCAACATGAGAAGGTAAGCGGGCATGGAAACTAGATTAATGGAAATGGACCCACCATAACGGAAACAATGAGAATATTCACACACTGTGAACACATAACCAATGTCACTGGACAACTTGTGTAGAAACTGTTGAATAGGAACATGCTGTGTAAACCTTCACCAAAAACACAATAAATTATTATTAAAAAAAAAAAAAAAGAAGAAGAAGGGGGGCCAGGTAGAGGAATCATAACAGAATGACACTAAGTGTGTCACCAGGTGGGCAGGCATTTTTCTAAGCTCTGACAGACTCAACAGTCAGGACAGAAAAACAAAGTTTTCTCCCTTGCTCCTTGCCTTAATGTAACTCTTCTTGTTTTAAGGAATAACTTTTTCATCATTAGAATATTCAGACAAACATTTGACAATATGGCAGGAACGTTTAAGCCAAATCAGGAGACTTCAGAACATAAGTGGGACAAAATGAAGTGAAATTGCATCCATTTCTTCTCAGATGGTGGCAGGGAACTTCAGGCTAGGCCCTCATATTAACTGGGGTACCAGTTCAAGTTCCCCATCATTAGGGCAACTTTAGTGGGAAAACATGGCAGGTACAGGCTCAGGCAAAAGAAATCTTCGGGGTTCACAGACCACCACCCCACCTCAGAAGGACGTACATGGACCGTTCCAGGCCCAAAGCCCTAGGGAGTAGGGCAGAATAATGTACATTTGTCTAACCTTGCCTTCTGTCCCACACCCCTGATGCCTGCCTGAGAAGGCCCTGAACCAGCTGGTAGCTGTCCTCCTTAGAAGCACAATTAACAAGCGACAAGCGAGATCAGAAATAACTTTGCTACTTATTTTTGGGCAAACATTTTGTATTTCACAACCGAGGCTAAAAATCAGAAAATGTAATACTTACCATGTTTTTCTGTGTTACCATATCCTGAAAAGAAAAAGAAAATACAAGATGAATATAGTTTCTTTCCATAAGCATTAGCCAGCACTTTCTCCCTTATCACCCAGCTCTCATCTCAGCGCATGAATTAATCATCTGGAAGCTCCTGAAAAGGCTCCAGATAGTAGGAACCTCTGAGAACTGTAAAATTCATATATTCTAAGGAAAATCTATCATAATTAGTTAGCTTTGGAATGATTGGGGGGCATTTATGCTTGTAAGGAGTTTCCCACTTACTATGGATTGTTCTGTGTTCTCCAAAAAGTTATGTTGAAGTCCTAAGCCCTGGTACCTGTGAACATGACTTTGTTTGGAAATAGTCTTTGAAGATGTTATCAGTTAACATGAGGTCATACTGGAGTTGGGTGGGTCCCAACTGAGTAGTGTTCTTATAAAAGAGAAAAGACACAGAGGGACAGGGACAGAGGAAGGATGGTATGTGAAGAAGCATCCACAAGCCAAGGACAGCTGGGGCCACCAGAAGGTGAGACAAGAAAGGATCTTTCCCTAGAGACTTTTGGAGGGAACATGGCCCTACCAACACCCTGAACTTGGACTTCTGGCCTCCAGAACTGCGAGACAATAAATTTCTATTCTTACAAGCCACCCACTTTGTGGTATTTTGTTACAGCCGCCCGAGGAAACTAATGCACCACAGCACTGGCAATGTTTTTGCCCAAAAGATATTCTGAGATTCAAGTTTGGGGGGTGTGACTTCATCTCATCTTCCCAGTGAAGAGGAGGTGATTGTCAGCAACAACAAGGGCGTGCCTGGGAAGCGCTGTAGAAGCCCGGGATCTGGCGCACAGCACGTGTTCAGTCAGTATTTCTTGGTCAAGCAACGTGAAGGCCACTGGCCACCCCACAGTCAGCCTTCCTACAGAATGAGTGTGGCTGCTCCAATTCCTGACACTCCATTAGAATGGTCTAGAAATTTTCAAATGTAATGATGACAATTTTAGACAGTTACCTAAGCATGATGGTTATGCAGTCTTTGGCTGTGATCCTTTAAGCACTGAACCCAAACATTTGCCCAAGAAAGAAAACATAATTTAACAGGCCGCCCTGTAAAACACGGTTTACATGTACTGAGATTTCTATTTTCTGATGACCAACGCAGATTGCTTCTTCTGGTGTCAGATACAATGGACTACGGTTTCCATTTTAGGCAATACTTTTCCATATCGTTAAAAATTAAAACCTTTATCTAATAGGTTATAGGACTTTCCAGAGGGCTACACTAAGGCACAGTTGAGTAAAAAATGTACTGAATTAAGAAAAAATACATTCTCATTTCGTGTTTCTCATCAAAATGTAGGTTAACAAGTGTCTTGGTTTCCTAGTGCTGCCTTCACAACATACCACAAAGTGGATGGCTTTAAAGAACAGAAATTTAACTTCTCATAGTCGTGGAGGCCAAAAGTCCACATCAGGGTCTTGGCGGTGTTGATTCCTTCTGTGGGCCTCTCTCCTAGTTTCTGCCGACTGCTAACAATCCTTGGTGTTTCTTTGCTGCTTATAGATGTATTTGCCTCCGAGGTCACATGGCATCTCCCCCTATCTAAGACACCACTCAGATGGGATTAGGTTTAGTACTCACCCTACTCTGGTATGACCTCATTAACATAAAAATCCTATTTTCAAACAGGATCACATCCATAGGTACCAAAAAACCCAAACCAAACCCATTGCTGTTGAGTCTATTCTGACTCATAGCGAACCTACAGGACAGAGTAGAACTGTCCCATAGGGTTTTCAAGGAGCCGCTAGTGGATTTGAACTGCCAACCTTTTGGTTGGCAGCCAATCTCTTAACCATTGTGCCACCAGGGCTCCTCCATAGGTACAGGGGTTAGGATTTCAACATGTATTTTGGGGGGACACAATTCAATCCATAACAATAAGCTACACCTTCATATTTTTAAGTTTCAAATATTTATAACTACCTTTGTGAAAATCAGGCAAAGAAAAAAAAAACCTAAATATTTAAGTTAGATTTATAGCCTGTCTTAGTCATCTAGTGCTGCTGTAACAAAAATACCACAAGTGGATGGCTTTAACTAAGAGAAATTTATTTCTTCGCAGTAAACTAAGCTGAAAGTCCAAATTCAGGGCATCAGCTCCAGGGGAAGGCTTTCTCTCTGTGTCGGCCTTCTCATCAACGTTCCCCCGGACTAGGGGCTTCTCTGCACAGGGACCCTGGGTCCAAAGGACACGGTCTGCTCCCAGCACTGCTTTCTTGGTGGTATGAGGTCCCCCTGTCTCTCTGCTTACTTCTCTCTTTTATATTTCAAGAGATTGCCTCAAGACACAATCCAGTCTTGTAGACTTGAGTCCTGCCTCACTAACACAACTGCCACCCATCCTCCCTCACTAACATCATAGAGGCAGAATTTACAACATATAGCAAAATCACATAATACGGGGAATCATGGCCCCGTCAAACTCGGGGCCATATTTTCGGGGGGACATAATTCAATCCATGACATAGCCTTTTGGGACACTATTCTACACTTTAAAATACAACAATAAAAGTTTCTTCTTTCACTGTTTTAAGTGGGTTGACTAGTATTCAGCAAAATTCATGTCCCCTAGAACCTCAGAAGGTGATCTTGTTGGGAAATTGGGTCCTTATGTAAGTAGTTAAGATGAGCTCACACGGGATCTGGATGGGCCCGAATTCAATGACTGGTATCTTTATAAGAGAAAGGAAGGGGGAATGGGACACAGGCACACGCAGAGAAGGTGACGTGAGGACGGAGGCAGAGATTAGAGTGACCCGCCTACAAGGCAAAGAACGCCGAGGATTGCCCCAAGAACCTGGGAGACAGGCGTGGATCCATTCTCCCTCCAGAAGGAGCCGACCGTGCCAATACCTTGATTTTCAACTTTTAGCCTCCAGAACTGTGAGCACATAAATTTCTGTTGTTTTAAGCCACCCAGTTTTTGTTAATTTGTTACAGCAGCCCTAGGAGACTTAGACGGCTTTCATATGAATTACCTCTTCAAAGGCAACATTGTGCTGTAATTACAGATTTACACTTCTACCTGAAGTGTATGTCATGCATGGCACACACAGGTTATGCATCTGAGACAGGTGCTATTTCCACCAGGAAATAATCCCAAATCATTACAGAACCCACAATAGCCGGTTAATATTCAATCTCAAGAAAAACAAACAAAAATGTTCACTGTTGGCATCATGAAATTATGCTATTTAAATATGAGTGTTTTTAATACTGAGGAAGCTGGACACTAAGAAGTGTATGTGTGAAGGCTGCCTCTTTGAACCATTGGTTCTCACACCTGGCTGCACACTGGGAGGTTACAAAATCCCCACGCCCAGCTCCCACCCCCAGAGACTGTGATGTAATTGGTCTGGGGTGCGGCCCGAGTATTGGGATATTTACAAACCCTTCAAGTGATTCTAAAGTGCCGTCAAGGTTGAGAGCAACGTGGTAAACAAAACTAGTCTTTTATTTCTAAAATGATTTGACACAGACTAGGACTTTCTGACCACTGCAAAGTTATTCAACAACATTAATCTCAGCTGAATTTTGGAAAAACTCACTTTAGACATGTTACAAATGTTGTAATCAAACTTGGAAAAATACGTGTTAAACATTCTCAATAATCACTGACTGTGCAGAAACACACACATTTTCAGCTTCACCTTGCTTTAGACTGAGGGACAGTAACAGATGAACTACCGATAATGTCTATGCTGAAAATACTGACCCGTTTCAGCAATTGCCAAATGTTTTCATATTATTGGTCAAGTGGAGAAGTTTTCTTTTTATGTGTAGGTTTAGACCAAATTGTCCTTCAAGGGACTCACAGAGGTATGCTTGCTTCAGTGGAAGCTACAGGGGTTTTTATCTTTGCTTCCTTAAAAGTCTAGAAGCATCCAAGTTGGCTACAAACGCATGTCTATAGCACACAGGTGCCCACAGTGGCCAGGAAGTGGTCTGCTGAGCTAGAACCCGTGGTGGGAAGGAAGAGATTACACAAGCAAATCTCTATTTTTTTTCTCCATCCTCTTCTGGTACAGTTACACATTCAACTGAAGATTAATTCTGCTTCCCCAAAATGCAGTACTCAGGAGAAGGTGAATAGCAGCCTTTACTTTCAATGAGAGAGCAGTGTCGGCATCGATGTCACAGTACAGGATCACATTATTGGCCATGTCGAAGCTTTCGCGGACGCCAAGATGGTAGAAAAGGGAAGGCTGTCGGGAGACGTCGCTCATGTCCACCACGGCGACATCTGTGACAAAGGAGAAGAGGGTTGGGGGGAGAGAGATCATCTATCTATTTAATCCACTTCCTGTTTACTTAATTCCTGATCAGCGCCAACGGGGAGTTACTGCAATTTGTATTTCTACCAGTGGGGAGTTACTACAATATGTATTTCTACCATCAGTCTTTTAGGCAAAGCAAAAGTGAGAGATGATTTGATTCAAATTACCCCATAAACTGCGGGAGAAAGGTAGTAATAAAAAACAAAAAACCCTTCCTTCTTCAAAGTGCTGGGGATGCAGCCTTACAACTTGCTGCGAGATTTATTCGTGTTATTTTTAGTATGAAAAACACGTGCAAAAGAATGTTTAGCCTATACACGAAGTATAGGAAGACCTGAGAAAGCTGGAACCTGGGTAAGGCAGAAACCTGACAGAGAAGGAAAATGCCAATACTTTCCGCTAAAACGAGTGGTAGAAAAGTGGTTGAAGACGGCACCCTGTCAAAGGTGGAAAAACAGCCAGAAAAACACGGCAGTCCCGACAAGTTCCAGCTCTCGCAGGTTTCACTGTATAACGAAGTGAAAAACCATGCACCCGCCAGACGGTCAAGACACAGAGCGTCACCAACACTGCCAGAGCCCCAGCTGCCTCTCCCTACTCATATCCCCCTTCCTCCTGCCCAGAGAAAACCTCTATCCTGGCTTGTACCCGAAGCATCCTCAGCAGTGTCCCCCCCCATAGCCTGCAAGAGGACTGAGTTCATCTGGTGGTGGTGGTCATTGACACAGCGCTGGATATAGAGCCATTTTCCTTTTCTTTATCCCTTCTCCCAATTTTCTTTTCCTTTTTCTTTCATGTACCAATTTCCTTATTCTTAGGTGGCTTTTTAAGAATGAATGTGCAGAGCTGATGATCTGCATCAAGCATGCCTCAGTGGCCACAGAATCCAGTCTTGCAGTGGCCGGAGGATGGGTCTTTTAATTTTGACAAATTAACATATTTGCGGAGGCTCTTGGAGCGGTCTCATCCCAGGCAAATAAATGACTGGTATCGATGGGATGAACAGCATTCTAAGAGTAAAGTTAAAAATGACTTGGTAACGGTGGCACAACATGAAAAATGTAATCAATGTCACTCAATTGTAAATGTCCTCATCCTTGTCCTCCTTTCTCCGTCATCCCTGCCCGTTTCCCCCCGTTTCTCTTTACCCCTCCCTGCCTCAAGCTTGTTTAGGGAAAGAGGAAGGTGATGATCTCTTAGGTGAGTAGTTCCTCTCCTTAATGGGTTCCTCTGAACAGGACGAGGGTACAGCTTCTTTAGCAGGTAATGAGTTACCTACTCTGTTCGAGGACACGGGTTTCTGTTCCTCGTGGGTTAGCCCTGAGTCCACTCCATGTTCTAGCCCAGATTCTACCTCCAAGAGTCCCTTAGCTTCCATATACCACATAGCTAGGAAAACTGAAATGGTAAAGATACAAGGTCACAGAATCATCAAGAACCTGGGTAGAGGACTGTGTTATGAAGGCGACAGGATGGAGAGTAGCTGCTAGTCACTTGGGAAAAGGCAAACAATCAAGATGCTAAGCTGACGAATGTCAACATGGGAAAGGAAACCAAAGTGCCAGTAATTTACTTTTTTTTGTTTCAATATGAGGAAAACCAGACCTTCCTATTTGGGTCACCAGCAAAGCTGATGCCTCTGAGAAGCTACACGGGCCTCCCTGGTAATCCACACGCCTCTCTCACCAGCTGAGATCACTCATTTAAAGGCTTCTTTTCCCTGTGCCCCGGAAGTTTGCAGAAGGTATTCTGCAGTGTGTTTTTCATTTACAGCCCCATGCACGGGGTCGTGCACTGGCTGCTGCGTGGCGTTCTGCAACCAGCAGACTTTGCTCCTTTGATGGAGCAAGTACATCTGGGACTACAAGATCAAGGGGTACAGCGGCCAAGGGAAGCTGACTATCTGCCATCCCCCACAACTATGGAAGAGCTGAGGACTTTGGATACCCATCAAGAGAGGGTTGCTAACAGCTATATTTGAAGCCTTTCCGCTAAAGGTGAGCTGGGAGAAATGGCAGGGGAGTACCTAGAAGATGGGTGAGTCCCCCACTGATTACCATCAGTGGTCTGTTGAGGATTTCTCAAAATTGATTGGTCTGGATCTAAGGGGAGATCACATGAATCACCCTCTGGCTCTAACCACCTTGCCTCTGCTCTCTTGTTGACGATCCAAAGTTAAAAGAAAAGGTGGCAAGATGGCAAGAATAGACTATTACTCAAATCTTGTCAGCAGCCAGTACTCAGTTTGGGGACAGCCTACAGAAAGAAAGCAATGAAGAACCGCTGTATGAACTGCGAGACCCCAGGTGGCGCACACTGTTAAGTGCTCAACTACTAGGCAAAAGGTTGGTGGTTAACTGCTCAGAAGTATTTGCTCAAGAGAATAATCCCTACCCTGGACAACCTATGAAGGGAACAAAGGAAGATGGGAAAGTATATGTCATTGTTGACAGAAGCCAGGGTATCTGCAGATGGGTGGTAAAAAGAAGGGAAACTCAATGTCATCATTGACAGACTGAAAGAAGAGAGGTCATGTGAAGAGGGAAGATAGAAAGTGACTCTCAAAGATGCAGAAAGTGCTGCAATGAGGGGATCAGGAAAATCCAGAAAACTAGGGAGTATTGGCAAATGGCTGAACATCAACAGATTTAGGGAATCTCAGAGGTTGATCCACAATTAACGCCCATGGAAGCAGTAGTCAAGAAATCAAAGGATGCATTGCATTGGGTAAATCTGCTGCAAAAGACTACTCCTTAAAGTGTTAAAAAGCAAAGATGTCACACTGAAGGCTAAGGTGCGCCTGACCAAAGCCATGGTGTTTTCAGTCGCCTCATATGCATGCGAAATCTGGACATAAATAAGGAAGACTGAAGAAGGACTGGCGCCGTTTAACTGATGTTGGCGAAGAATATTGAATATCCCATAGGCTGCCAGAAGAACAAATCTGTCTTGGAGGAAGAAGTACAACCAGAGTGCTCCTTAGAAGGAAGGATGGCGAGACTACATCTTACATACTTTGGACATGTTGTCAGAAGGGATCAGTCCCTGGAGAAGGGCATCATGCTTGGTAAAGTGGAAGGTCAGCGAAAAAGAGGAAGACCCTCAACGAGACAGACTGACACAGTGGCTGCAACAATGGGCTCAAACATAGCAGTGATTGTGAGGATGGCGCAGGATGGGCATGTTTGTTCTCTTGCACATGGGGTCACTGTGAGGTGGAATTGACTCGAGGGCACCTAACAGCCAACAACAACAACAGAGGTGGGATCCCGTGATGTTGGTGATTCTTATTATGCAGTTTCCTGGGGGGAATTTCTCACTTTGCATCTGGTCAATACAGGCTGTTAGTATTTCAGGTCAGCCTTATTGCTTTTCCTACTTGCTCCTTTTCCTCCATGGTTCCCATACAAAGGGGTCCTCTGACTGAGGAACAGGTTCTTTCTTTTTCCTGGTTCCTATGAACCTACTGGGAGATACCTGCTGTGCACCGTAAAGGCTACCCTGTTCTGTGCGGGAGGGTGTCTGTGGAGCTCCTGGGAAAAAGCATCTGATTTGGTTACAATGTGCCTTTGGAAGGGGTGTGACAGAGAACAGCAGCAGTTTCTTGCTGTGCTGGACAAGCACCCCAAGCTGGAATGATCGTTTGGGGCCTTAGGAAATAATGATACTGGTTTGAGATATAAAACCAATAAAAATACATTACCAAAAGAATAAGGCATGGTCATGCGTAAAATAATATCCTTTGTCGAGAGTGCAATTAGAAGGAATAAAACCGGTTATAAAAGAATTCAATCAAGGGATGCTTTAAAAATGAAGGGTCACTCACCCTGTAATCTGCCCATACTTCGAGTAAAGAAGGAAGGTAAAATTAATAAAGATGGTTGACCACGATACAGATTTGTATGAGATCTTAAAAAACTAAATAAATGTGTTGTTCCATTTACCCCTATAGTTCCTAACCCTGCAACTATTCCAGCTTCAGACTTTGGCAACGTTGTCTGCAGTTTCTCTGCATTTGATCTGTTTTGCTTTTTCTGTCTGTCAGTCTAGCTGACGCGTCTAAATTCTTGCGTTTGTTGACTAAGGAATTTTATATTTGTGGTAAAGGATTCCTCAAGAGTCTGGGGACTCCTGCTGCTATTTTCTCTGGTCATGTACAGAAAGCTTGGAGAAATTTGTCTCAACACCAGAGGGATCTATAATTCATACTTGTATAGTCCAACATTAATTAGCTATAAAACAGCTCCAAGATAATCATTATTAGTTCAGAATTACAGAATTGTTCATATTTAAGGGAACAATTGGATAGAGAACCCAAAAGAGAATGACAAAAAGACAAACAATCTGATGAAAAAATGAGCAAAGGACTTGAAGGGACATTCAAATGGCCAAGAAGCGCATGAAAAGATGCTCAAAGTCATTAGCCATTAGGGAGATGCAAATCAAAACCACACTGAGATACCACTTCACCCCCAGTAAAAGGGCAATGATTTTTTTTAAAAAAGGAAAACAACAGGTGTTGAAGAAGATGTGGATAAACAGTGACCGTCATCCATTGCTAGTGGGAATGTGAAATGGTCCAGTCACTGTGGAAAATAGTTCGGGCAGTTCCTCCAAAAGTTGAACGTGGAACTACTATAGGACTCCGCAATCCCAACTCTACGTACATACCCAGGATAAGTGAAGGCAGGAATTCAAACAGAAATCTGTATAGCCATGTTCATTGCAGCACTTTTAACAACAGGCAAAAGGTGGAAACAACCAAAATGTCCATCAACAAAGGGATGGATAAGCAAAATGTGGTAGATACACACAATGGAATATTAGCCATCTATAAAGAGAAAGGAAGTCCTGATGCATGCCACAACATGGATGAACCTCGGACACTATGCCAAGTCAGTCAGTCAGTCACAAAATGGCAAATACTGTAGATTTCACTTATAGGAAATACTA